ATATACGGTATTCATATATCTCATATACGGTATTCATATATCTCATAAACGGTATTCATATAACTCATATACGGTATTCATATATCTCATATACGGTATTCATATATCTCATAAACGGTATTCATATAACTCATATACGGTATTCATATATCTCATATACGGTATTCATATATCTCATACACGGTATTCATATATCTCATACACGGTATTCATATATCTCACTGGTCACACAAAAGAAGATCTGACCCTGCAATGTCCTTGGTGTAATTGCCAGACACATCATTAGAGCAGTAAAAAGTTCACCTTGGTGTAATTGCGAGGCACGTCGACAGACACACACTTCATGAAGTAGGCTGGCAGGCGGTCAGCATCCACGCCTTCGCTGGACACCGGACCGTCCCAGGCCTCGCAGTTTGACTTGTCCAGCGCCAGTCTGGCCATCAGGAAGTCCAGGCACCAGTCCTGCTTGATGGCCGCCGTCGCTGTCTGAAGAACGTAGTGTGGCTTCTCCGACCTGAAAGTGACAGGTCATCTCAAGGTCACCATCTGATTCTCCGCACCACAGTCGACAAATTAGTGATTTGTACAAGGTTGTTTTTATCACTTTCTCAACCAATTCCAACCAAGGATAAACATTATTCAGTTTTGTCAATCAGTATCATTTACATAATCACAGAAATGGAAAATTAGAGCAAAATCAAGCTATGTGAAGGATCATTTTCAAAAGCTAAAAACTGTCTATGCTATTTAGTAAATAATTCGCCTACGGTACATATTTGTAATCAACACACAAATCTTAACCAAATGACGCAGAAAGTGTTATTTGGTCACTTTAGATGACTCAAGATAGTAGCGAATGACGACACTAGTCAAAATGACATTATACAAAAACAAAATTATTAGATTTTTTTTTCTTTTTTAAATATATGAAAAAGTTAGCATCATGTTATCTAAAATAGCACTGGACACTGACCCTTCAAAGTGCCGGGCTTTTACTGACCCCTGGACAGCTGACCATAGATGAGCCCCACGTGCTAGAGAAAATTCTAGCGTGCGCAAGACGTGACAGGTCACAGTCTTTTAGTTTTAGTAGAGGTATTTCCGCCATCGCAACTGCATAAGGTCATATGAGTGCCAGAAGATTAGAGGTGTTACAAGAGAGTAACAAACATAAAAAAGAAGGGGAGATAAGGACGCCAACCACCCACGTCCCAGTCTTTGCTCAAAGATTGTTTGTTGAATGTAAGAAACAGATCGGTACAACTTATACCAGTGGAAAGATAAATGATGAGGTGTATTCCACCATCCACAAGACCTGCACACAACAAGCCATACTGATGTAATGTATGTATGTATGTACATATATACATACATACTGATGTACACAACTTGAACTATGCCTGAACAAGCCATACTGATGTAATGTATGTATGTATGTATATACATACATACATACTGATGTACACAACTTGAACTATGCCTGAACAAGCCATACTGATGTAATGTATGTATGTATGTATATACATACATACATACTGATGTACACAACTTGAACTATGCCTGAACAAGCCATACTGATGTAATGTATGTATGTATGTACATATATACATACATACAGAGCTGTTAAAGTACTTTTAAAAAAGTACTTAAGTACAAATTTAAGTACAATCTAAAATATGTACTTAAGTACAGTAAAAGTACTTTCCTGTAAAATGTACTTGAGTA